TTTAGAGGAAAAGGCAAGGCTGGAGTTCCAGTGGGTGAGCCATGCCGGCTGGTCAGCATGGGAGAACACCACTGGGGCCAAGGATGCAATAGGCAGGTGGGAGAGAGTGGCACATGAAGTGTGGCATGGTGTCATGGGGCAGCTGTTGACCACACAGGAGCTTCACGTCATGCTACATGCCTATCCTATAGGGACCTAATACAGGATTTCAGATAGGGGAGCATATCATCCAAAATACACAATGGATGGCTGGGTGCAGTGGCTCACATCTATAATCCCAGCACATTGGGAGGCCGAGGCAGGTGGATCACCTGAGGTCAGGAGTTCGAGACCAACCTGGGCAACATGGTGAAAAACCCCGTGTCTGCTAAAAATACAAAAATCAGCTGGGTGTAGTGGTGCGGTCCTGTAATCCCAGCTGCTCAGAATCACTTGAACCCGGGAGATAGAGGTTGCAATGAACCAAGATCACGCCACTGCACTCCAGCCTGGTCAACAGAGCGAGGCTCTCTCCCAAAAATAAAACAAAAAGTGCATACTGGAAAGTTCACCAGTGCTGAGTGGAGCTACAGGGCACAAAGTAGGAGAGGTTATGCCACTGCTGGAAGTGGAAGGAGCAGAGGAAGGCAGCTGAAGCAGCATTCCCATTCCATTTGGGATAGAAAGGGCCTGGTGTCCAACCAGAGATGGAAGTATCCAAAGGTCACCCACGTTCCTGACAAAAGAACCAGGGGAATAAGAGTGTAGCCCACTTAAGAGGGAATACAAAAAAAAAAAAAAAAAAAATAGCCCAGAAGTGAGGAAACAGGGAAGATCATCAGAAGCTGCAGTGAAATGCTCATGGTGGTCTGATATGAATGACAGGTCCTGGGCTCAAAAGGGGTCAGGGCTGGAGATATTTGGAAGCATAGATGGAGACAGGAGGCAATTAAGTTACCCATGGATGAGATAACAACAAGGAAAGTGAAAAGAGCCCAGGGTAGAAATCTGGCCATGCTCTTATCTGAATGTTTATGTCCCCTCAAAATTCTTATGGTGAAACCTAATCCCCAATGTGATGAGTTTGGGAGGTGACTGGGTCATGAGGGTGGAGCCCTCACAAATGGGATTAGAGCCCTTATAAAAAAGAGGCCAGGAAAAAACACCCCACCCCTTCCAACATATGAAGACAGTGAAAAGGTGCTGTCTGTGAACCAGAGTGTGGACCCTCCGCAGACAGTTCACCTGGTAAGCACCTTGATCTTGGCCTTCCAGCCTCCAGAACTGTGAGCAGTATTTCTGTTGTGTGTAAGCCACTCAGGGTATGGGATTTTATTACAGTAGCCTGAATGGACTAAGTCAGTCAGGAGACCACCAACTGTTAAAGGCCAGACTGAGGGGAGGGAGACAGAGGAGCAGCAGCAGCAGCTGTGGGGGCAGGAAGAGACTCAGAAGACGGTGGCATCAGAAGACAAGGGAAGAAGAATCAACCAGGGCACACGTCACAGACAGGTGGCACACAGCTATAATCTTACTGAAAGTAAAGCACAGTACACAGTTCTTTAAGGGTCAATCGCTCTTTAGGAATGACTCAAAAATGTGTAAAATCCACTCCCAAATCCTAAAAGAACTGAGAAATACATAAGTATACAGAGAACCCACAGAGGGGTCATGCCCATGGTGGCACTAGACTCCACTACGCTGCCAGGCTCTGCAAAGTCATGGCATAGAAGGAGTTTCAAGGACAGCGCCAAGTAAAAACCGTGCATCAGCACTACAAAATCGAGTAGGCTCAACGATTTCACACACGCTCTTGATGCATTTCTCCAGATGTTCTCCGTAGTTCTACAGCCAGCCAACGGAAGATTAACTGAATGGTATTATTCTGTGCTTCATCTTTTCAAACGGTCATCTGAACGCTTACGCTCAACTCCACGTAGCCATCCTGCCTGCACTCAGTGCCCTTCACCGAGCTCCCCAAATGATTCCTAATGGTTCTGGCTGGAGAGGTGCATGGGGGGTTACAAGCACTGCAGTGACCACTCAGCCAAAAAACATGATGAGGGGAAGAACTCCAGGTGTGAAAACAAATGCTCTAAAGAAGCTCTCTTACCAACACAGAATGCAAGCCACATCTGTAATTTCAAATTTTCAAGCAGCCACATTAGGAATTAAAAAGAGTCGGTCGTGGTGGCTCACACCTGTAATCCAGCACTTTGGGAGGCCGAGGCAGGTGGATCATCTGAGGTCAGGAGTTGGAGACCAGCCTGGCCAACATGGTGAAACTCCATCTCTACTAAAAATACAAAAATTAGCCGGGCGTGTTGTCATGTGCCTATAATTCCAGCTACTCGGGAGGCCAAGGCAGGAGAATCACTTAAACCCAGGAGGCAAAGATTGCAGTGAACCGAGACTGCACCACTGCACTCCAGCCTGAGCAACAAGAGAGAAAATTCAGCTCAAAAACAAACAAAAAAAGAAACAGGTGAAATTTTAGGAACATATTTTAACATATCCAAAATGTATATTTCAACATGTAATAAATATAGAAATTACTAATGAAATGGTGTACAGAGTTTTTCCTATCGTACGTCTTGTAAACCTCCTGTTTCCAACTGTGGACAAGCCACAGTTCAAGTACTCAATAAGCCATGTGGCTTACTCAGTAAGTGTCTGCTGATTCAACAAGCAGCTACCACAGTGGACAACACAGGTCTAAACGGAATCTATGCAAACCAAGAGAAAGTTCTGACACAACTAGAAAAACTCCAAGAAACATGCCCATGCCTGAGTCTTCAGGACAAGGGGAAGGGAAGGCAATTTCCCTGAAAGCCGTTATCAGTGTTACGGTAAGTGCTCCATTGTGAAATCACAACGACATCAGCAGGGCTGAGATGCTCAAGGAGAAGGCTGCAGGGCGTGGCCTTGGGGAAGCAGGTGACCAACCAACAGGCCTGTCACCGGCAGAGCCCAACTCCTAACCACTATTACATTTTCACAGTGCTTCTCCTTTCTCCTTTTCATCTTCCAACAGCCCTACCAGGAAGGCAGGCTCTACCCCATTCCACATATGAAGAAACCGAGGCCCGGGCAATTTAAATAACTTGCTCATTTCTAGGCGCCACTCTAAGACTTGGACCCAGAATGCAGGCCTCATTCCTACCCCAGGGGTCTTCAATAAGGAGCTGATCAGAAACAGCAAAAAACCCGCAGCAAGACCAAAGTAACTACTACCAAGTTCCTGAACAACTCCCCACTTAATGACGTTTCATAGAGTACCTCCCTTCTTAAAGAGCTTATGAGTTTTCAAAACATTGTCTGCCCATGTCTAATCACCACTGCAAGATGTACAGGACTGCCCTAGAAGTATCCTGAAAAAGCCCAACTACAGCCCAGAGGGGCTGGCCCATCCAAGGTCATTCCTGGCCCTTGTCACCACATTCAACGTCTCTCTTCTACTACACACTGCCTCCTTTGGTGACACCTTTTACTTTTCAGATAAATTTTTTAAATGTCAAGGTTATTATTTTAAAAATATACTTTGTTGTTATCTCAAACCAGTGGGTAACCTCATGATAGGCCACAGTTTTAATCAACCACACAAGTGACTTCAGCTTAAGATCTTCCTCCAACTCTCGCCAACCTTAAAGTGATCTGACTGCATTCTCAGAGCTCTACGAGGTACCGGCTGGCTGCAGCCAGTGGGACCCCTGCCCTTACTAATCAATGTTCACATACACACTGATCAAATTCGCAGATAAAAGTGTAAAAGTGTGTGACAGATCAGGTACACAGATCCTCTTCCTGCCTCAGGCCTGGCTGAAGGGGAGCTGAAGTAAGAGCCACCTGTGAGGTCTGGCCTTTTCTTTCTTTCTTTTACACACTTCACCCGTCGGGGGTCTCGTCTTTTATTTGTTTATTTTAGGCAAGTCTAACAATTTGGGGTTTCTTGGCTCTTCATGACCTGAGAACATGGGATCCTTGCACCTTTAACTGGGCCAACACTTAAATAATAGCTCTTTACGGCTAACACACTGACTTCCAACCAGTGAGGAAAACCTTCCTAGCCAATATACCTAAATTCTGCTGAATGCAATAAGGTGAAGGCTCAGAGTCACGTTTTAGTACCAAACAGCCTGGCTCTCAAGGAATTGATCACATGAAGGCAAGAGCTCAGTTATTCTCAAGGGAAAATAAGCATACTGCAGACAAATATACAAGAAGCTTCAAAATACCAACTGACCCCCAGAGCAGTAAACACTTTCCAAAGTTTCTTCACTCGTGATTTCCTAAGATTTTCACAGCTGTTAAGTAAACAGGTATAAAAGGAAGAAAACAGAATCCCAAAGGTTTAAAAATGCACCCTGCTACACAGCTACCTGCAAGTACAGTCTGAATGTGGGAATGGTGGAAATGGGTCAACAGGTCTCCCACCTTGGCCAGGTGCTCTGTCATAACCAGGACACCAGAGCATAAAAACATCATCACTAGGACCCAAGGACCACTTTCACGGGATGTGAGTGAGTGCTTTACTTTCCCGTTATTTAACCATATTCCAAGTCCATTCAAGGTAAGGAAGTCCTGCAGAACAAAAAATATCACTTCGCACAAAGGATGAAAGAGCTGACACATAAGCAGCCCCGAGCTACCAAGGCTCAGGGACTTCCAAGCACACCAGGTCACCTTTCTCATCAGGAATTCAAAGCTGAAGGTCAGCAAGTTTCTAGCCCAGGAGTGTGGTGGATTATTTCTAACATGCGATTTGAACAGTCTTGACAGCAGCCATGATGGCCTCCAGCCATGCCACAGTCCCACAGTCCAAGAGTCCCAGGTGCAAAGGAAAGCCAACCAAGACCCCTGCTAGGAACAACTTCCGCAGAGCAGCTGTGCCACATCCTACATGCAACACGACTGCACCCTGCCCAGTGGAACTCGTGCATTCAGAAGAGAAGGGAGGTCAAGGAGGAGAAGAAGAGAAGAGAAAGCAGCAGAGAGAAAGCAGCAGTCAGCACCATTCTTACTTTTCTGGCAGCGGTTTGTGGTCCAGCAGCGGAAGTTGTACTCGTTGTTGATGGCGGTCTTCTCGCACATTGGGTTCTCCTCCATGGCCCCTGGACACACGTCCCCACATTCCTTTGGGGGCTTATTCCCCACAATGTAGTTATTGGACACTGCATCCAGGATCAGGGACCAGTCCACAGTGGAGAGGTAACAGAGGTCAGCATTTTTCTCAATCCTGATGGCCCCCCGAGTAATGTTCCTCAGGTTGTAAAGCCCAATATCCTTAAGACTGGTCATCTCGAAGATGACCAGGGCGTAGTTGTAGAAGAGTTTCCAGCCGCGGATGACCGTGAGGTTGGGGAAGAGGTCTCCGAGGCTCTCGAGGCCAACCACTCGGAACAGCAGCAAGTACTCGGTGATGACCGTCAGCTTGGGGAAGCGGTAGCTGCGGTAGTCCTCAGCCTTGGAGATGAGCAGGATGTGCAGGTAACCCTCGATCACCGTGCAGTTCTCCAGGCGCCTCAGCTGATGGAAGTCATTGCGGATGTCGATGCCCGGCCCACAGACTGAAGGGAGACAAGAAGGGAAAGGCGGGATACGTCTCAGTTAAAAGGAAATAATTTTTTAAACTATGTTCCAACCAATAATACGGTTGGTTTTCAGGAACCCTGTTTTATTATTAAAGAAGTAAGGTTCAGTTGCTCATGGTAGAGGTGTGGGTTGCAGACTGACAGTCTAGGTGACTAACCAGTTAGCCGGCATTTGCACAGTACCAACACTGGGCCCTCACCAACCGACTATGGGAGAGGCCAACCCCGTTAACCGTGCAAACTAAAGTCTACAGCCCAGGGGCACACAGAGGCAGATGCCTGCAACCCAGTCCAGCCGGATTCCATCACTGCACACTCGCAGTCCCTTCTGCAGAGCGTCAGTTGCCAAGGCCTGAACAACAGCTCAGCAGCCAAGTATCAGTAACTTACTACTGCACCCTGCCTGAAGGACACAGGGCAATCGGTCTACACTAGAGAACAGTCACTGTGACCTGGAAAGTGGGGACTCAAAAACGCATGCTTCCATGCTTCCCACTACCATTTGACATGAGCCAGGTAGACTGTGTTGTCCCCACATCAGCATTTAATGTAGTTATAAAGGATAACCTAATAGAAGATAGAAAATGTGATTTTTTTTTATGAATAAAAGTAGTGTAAGTTCCAACTTTAACAGTTTCATTAAGAAGGTATGCTTCCTAAAGAGAGCTTAGAGGTAACAGCAAAAAAAAAAAAAAAAAAAAAAACCAGTAAAAATCATCAATGATCTCAACATCCTAAGATGTTGATAGTGTTAATGTTAACACTATCTATGCCAATTATCCATTTTCTATAAATGAAGGTAAGTGAAATCAGACAAAAATATGACATCTGCAAACACACTTCCTTCATTTAATATTTTACTAAGTCAATACATGTCCTTCTATATCATCATTTTAGGAGGCAGTGATTCCAGAGTATGAATATACACCATGAAGCTTTTTTTTTTTTTTTTAACCAATCCCTTACTGTTGGACAGTTAGGTTATCTCCTGTTTTGCACATTATAAGCAACACTCCAGTGAACATTCTCAGCAGATACCCAAGGCTATTGTCTTAGGATAAATCCCTAGAAGTGGAATTGCTGGGACGATGCACTTGCAGATTTTAAAGGCTTTTGATAAAATGGCCTCAATACTGCAAGACTTACATTCTAAATTCTAGGCACACACACACACCAAAAAAACACTTTGTTTTAGGATTTAAATCCCCAAGTCCACTATTAAGCCTTCTCAGAATGAAGTTTTCTGATTGATGTAACTAATTTGGAAAGCACCCAACGTGTATGACACCATGAGAAATGCCGACAGGCAGTGCCCTGCCCTCTTTGGAGACTCATGGTGAAGGCAAGGAGCTAAGACCAATGATGAACAACTGTCACACAAGGCAGGCGGTCAGTGGTGTGCACACAGCAAGTCCATTCCAGATGTGAATAGAATGAAGCAGGACAGACAAAAGGTGGTGTCCACATTTCGTGCCACTGTGCTGGGGGAAGCTCTGCACACAGCCTGGCTCCCAAAGGGTGCCTGGGATTTAAAACTCAGTCAACATCCCACAGGCCAGAGACAGTGCAGAACAAGGTACACTCATGTGCCAGCAGATCTGATGGTCAGGGTGAAAAGGGGAGCCGGTGAAGAGGGTAGCAGGTGAGGAAATGAATTTGGCAGCACCCAAGTCATAAAGGGTCACATGTGGGCATGAGAACTTTCACCTCAGAGGAATAAAGCCCCCACAAGGCTCCTGAGTGGGAGAGACGCCCATGTGAGAGAAGCCTGAAAGGCTCTGTGGAGGATTAATCCAGTGGCCTGGTGCAGGACAGAGTAAGTGGAACAGACAAGACAGAGAGAAGAAAAGTCCCGCTGGGCATTACATGACAACCACAGATGGAAACTGAGCAGAGACAGTGAAGGGAAGAGGAAGTGGAGGGACCCAAGGGCTGAGGAGCAGGCAAAGCTTGAGAACTTAGAACACGAAACTTCATTTGGTCTGATTCTTTTGTTTTACCAATGAGAAAAGGACATCTCTAAGACAGAGAAGAGAGGACAATAAAAAATAGCACTGGGCAAACATCCATTTTGAAGGTGAGGAAACATTTGGGGAAGTCAAGTCACTTATACACAGTCACATACATAAGATTCCAGCCCCTGCATAGCAAAACTTGACACAAGGCTTGTCCATAGTCCTACCTCTCAGCATCCTCACCTCCTGGTTACCTTTACTCACTCTGAATGAGCTTCTGTTCCAATTATGACACTGAATAGCTCTTAGCAGAGCCCCCAGTGACACTTGGACAATGTCACTGTACCTTCCAGTCACCTGGCATTGCCCCCTCCTCTCGGCTTCCCTGATTCCATACTATCCTGCCTTCTAGCATTACCTCTAAATGTTGGTTGTTATCCTCAACCTTTTCCTCTGTCACCTCATCTAGACAAGTGGCTTCTTGTGCCATTCATACTCTAGAGGATGATCAGACTCATGTCACTGGCCCAGACTCTTCTGAGTTCTAATGTAGTATATCCATCTGAGTATAACCACTGAGGTGCCTAATACCTCATTTGTTCCCCCACAAAATCCGCCTCCCAAGCTTCTAAACTGTAGCACTCTCATTCTCTGAGTTGCTCATGTCAAAAATCAAAGAGTCATTCCCGATTCTAATTTCCTCTCGCACCTCACATATCTAGTCCAGTAGTAGACCTCAGGGTTCCAGCCCCCAAGCCTATGAGAATCTTGGCTGCTCTTCCCACAACACCATCCACCTCCTTCCTCCCTGCGCAGCACGCTGTTCCTGGACAACCCCACACACGTCCCTCCCCGGGCACACCACCCTCTGCAGGACACGGCTCCCGCCTTTCTTCTCATGGTCTCTCTCATCATGCCCATCCAACACAGTGGCAGCTCCAGGAGGACAGGAAACAGAAATTGTTCTCTATTTATTTCTACTTGGCTCACAATTACATCCCCAGTGCCTAAAACAGTACTCGGTGCACAGCAGACACATTACACGGCACACATGCAGACTGACTGAATTTCATCATTCAGTTGCTGTTTGGCATAGGCCAGGGAGACTGTGTTCTCCTCATATCTGCATTAATGTAGATATAAAGCCTAACAGAAAGATTCAAAATGTGATTTTTTTCAATGACTAAAAGCAGCATAAATTCCAACTTTAAAAGTTTTATTGATCAAAAGCATGCTTCCTATAGAGAGCTTAGAGGGAACAGCAAAAAAATAGTAAAAATCATCAACGATCTCATCATCCCAAGATAAACAATCTTAATACTATCTATGCCAACTATCTATTTTCTATAAATGAAGGTAAGTGAAATCAGACAAAAATATGACATTTGTAAGCACAATTCCTTCACTTAATAATTTCACTAAGTCAATACGTGTCCATCTACATCATCATTTTAAGGAGACAGTAATTCTAGAAGGTTCTGGCCTTTCTTCTCCCAGTCTCTCTTATCACTTCCAACACAATGGCAGCTGCAGGAGGACAGGAAATAGAAACTGTTCTCTATTTATATTATTTTCTACTTAGTTCACCATTACATCCCCAGTGCCTAAAACAATAGACACATCATGTGGCGCACATGCAGAATGCGTGAATCTCATCATTGGTTCAGTGTCTATGTGTCTCCACTACTCCAGCTCTGATCTGAGCCACTAGCATCTCCAGCTTAGCCTAAAACAACACCTTCCCCATGACCCAGCCTCCCCACAGTCCATCCCTGTCCCAACACCATCCGACAAGACTCCACAGGAGTCCACGATCTCCAACACACCAAGCTCCTCCTCTGCTCGTACCCTGCTTCCTGCAGTGCTTCTGCTCCTTCAGGAGGTTGCCCCATTCTCTCACCATGGGGTCTCCACTCAGATGTCGCCTCCTCACAGCTTTGCCTAAACCTTGGCTTCAACTGTTCCCCCAACTCCTCCCTCCCTCCCCTACCTCTCATTTCTCTTCTCGCTTCTCTAAAAGGTCTTTTCATATAATATTTTTAATAATCTTGCGCATGAAACAAAGTTTGGGTACAGTGAACCATTTTATTACCCTTTGTGGAGGTGTGGGTTTGGGGGAATCTGAGTATGTGTAAAAAAGACACACCGCAGCTGAAGGGGGCTGGAAAGGTCTTTTTTCCCCACATGAGGTCAGGTGTGGAATTTTCCACTTGTGGTGTCATGTCAGAGCTCCAAAAGTTCTCTGGCTTTGGGGACTTTGTTGAGGCCCACTGTCCCCATCTTCCAGCTATACCCTTTCTCTCTGCTTCCCTGCTTTGCCTTATTCCTTACAGGCCTGCCTGGGACCGCACATTCCAAAAGATTTTTGGGTTTGTTTTGGATCACGCCAGTATCCGCTGCTTTGAGAAAGGAGAAAGGGTATTTTGCATTTTCCTTTTAATCATCCATGAGCAGCCACAAAGGGTGTGTCTCCCCCTCCTGCACTGTGTTTACTATTTACTCCCTCAGTGCATGAATTATTTCATGGCACCAGTGGAGCACGTTTTATTGTCTTTCCTGTTTGTGGCTTGCACCTCCTGAACACTGCTATCATTCATGGTCCAGCTTGGGTTTCTTTTGTACTGTTTCTATCACAAAACATCCTGAAGACCAATGGTGTCAGTGATGAGATCCAAAACAGCTGGTCCTAGGCCCTGCCTCGTGCTCTGTGGCTTGGGCTTGTCTTTCCTTCCGGAGTAAGTGAGTATCTTCTTCCTACTTTTTGTCTCTTTTCTTCTATAAATGGGAAGAAGAGTGTCAAGTATGGAACCTACTCTTTCATTTGGAGGAAACTGACAGTTCCAGCTCTGTAGCTGGCCTCTGTTAACTAGTGGTCAACACTGGCTGTGGAGGGGGCCAGATGGCAAAGTGAAGCAGATTCTTCCCTCCTGTCTGCATTCAGATTGCAGTATGCAGTTCAGCTTGCTTCAGTCTCTGCCTTCGTGTTCTTTCACTAGCTACTGAATTTTGTGATCTGTTGGA